TGAGCTCAGTTTGAGAGCTGCTGACACAAGGCACTGTAGACTTCAAGTGAAGATGTCTCTCCGGAGACACTGCTCAGAGTGGGGTGAGAGGCAGGGAGCTGGGCACGGGGCACCTCCAGGGAGGTCTGTGCAGGAAGAGGAGGGGACCCGAGAGGGCACACAACTGGTGTACTTCAAAAAGAGCGCAGTAACTGGAGCGGGGGAGACTGGAGAGCTTACACAAATAGCTCTCCTTTTGGTGGTCTGATAGCAGCTGCCCTGGAGCGGACCCTGACCCGTGTGTTGAGTAGAACTGTGCCCCATAGGGTTTTCAGTGGCTTTTTTGTTTTTTAAGAAGGTTGCCAGGTCTTCTTTCTGAGGTACGTCCGGGTGGCCTTGAACTTCCACCTTTTTGGTGCGTCTGGTGGCCTTGAACCCCCACCTTTTGGATGAATGTGGTAATAGTGTAAAAGGCTGCTAGGTTAACCTGATGGTTAATATGCACAGTAGCATTTCAGCAGGAAGGTGAGAAATGGTGGAAGAGTGCTCACAGAGTGGGGAGCACTCTGAGGTATGTGGGGGGCCAGCCTGGCCAGTATTCTTGTCCAGTTGGGTCTACCTGAGCTGTGGTTGCTTCTTTCTTTCTCATCAGTTTCTTGATGTTTTGTTGTTTGATTAAATGGTTTAGGAGTAGGATCTGAGGTTCCAGGGTCTTTGGGTTTTAAAGGTGGAAGTGCTTTGACACTTTGAGCTGAGTAGTTAAGAGCAGAAAGAACCATGGGAACGTGTCCCCTGGCAGTCTCGTCTCTTCCTGGTACTGCCCCTGCTGGCAGTGCAGTGGGCTGGGAGCTCTCTGGCCAGAGGGAGGGCTCCTCACAGGTTTGCTGTCAGGGTGAGGCAGAATGGTGTGAAGGTGGGGCCGCCCTAGGGCTGGTCCACCTGACACCCCGTACCCAGCTGAATCTGCTCCAGCCTCATCCGCTGTGCATCTGTTCCCACGGAGCTAGGTGGGACTTGGTTGCTGAACCAGGAACATTGCTAATCAGTAGTTTCGTGTTTAAAACCTTTTATGTCTTTTGTTGTTGTTGAGAATTTCTATGTAACAGAACATATACCAGTTCGCCAGTTTCTGCATATATAATTAGTGACCTTGATTATATTCTTTGAATTAGGTAACCATTCTCACCTAATTTTAAAGTTGTTCTTCTCACCCCCTAAGGTTCCTAGCTACTCTTTCCATTTGCTGTTTTCAGTCGATCCCATATGATGTTGTTAAGTGCAGATCTGTTGAGTCGGTTCTGACTCATAACGACCCTGTTTAGGGTTTCTGAAGCTGTAAACCTTTGCAGGAGCAGAAAGCCTTAATTTTCTCTCTCAGCGTGACTGATGGACTTGTACCTCTGACTTTGATCCCATTCCGACTCATAGGACCCTGTATAGGGTTTCTGAGTTGCGGCTAGTGGGTTTGAACCACCAGTCTTGAGGTAAACAGTCCAGTTTTATCCCACAGCGTCACACCAGGACTCCCATATAGATAGTTCTTAAAAGAGCATAATGTGCAAGGCAGACAGTTTTGTCCTCACTGGTTTTAAGAAGACTTCAGGGGACATTTTGGTTTAAGGTTTAAAGGTGACCTCAGGCCCATACAAGTAGTCCCTAACTTACAACTGTTGGAGTTACAGTGAACTGCACTTAACAAGCAGCTTCTTATGTTGGCAACATTCGATATACAATGCTGCTATGTAGAAATTACTGACGTTATCATTTCCGATTCCACATACACTGTTGCAGTACATAATGTGCCGATTCTGTTATTCACTGTAAATGCGTATGTAATATCTTCAACCTCAAAGACAAAGATCAGTTTTATAAAAATGCTGATAATGAAAGATATTAACAATGAAAACTTAAAAGAGGTGTTCCGTTTAGGTCAGAATTTAGAGCAGAGTGGTGTGGTTTCAGGGTGAATGAGTTGGTTTTAGGTGGAAGTTCTGGGGAGGAGGAAGCCATCAACCTTGTTGCCACTTGTGCGGAGAGTTGGAAGTGCCCTGGTTGAATTGTGCACTGCATCAATTTGATGGCATGCTGTCATTCCTGTTAACCCCCCACCTCCCCCACCCCTGCTCCTCCTCACCTGTGAAGTAGCTGTGCTCTTGGATGTCCGTTTAAAGTACGACTGTTTGTGTTTCGTTTTTCCCTACTCTGTCTTCTGTGCTCTCAGCGCTGCTTGGGGAACCCCTGGCATCCCTCTGCATCTCCATGTGTGTGCCCAGAAGTGATTTTGAGCCTTTTTTCCTAACGTTTTATTTTTAAAATAAGTAACAGACTTTCCCTAGATTTCCCAGGTTTCCATTACTATCCTTTTCCTGCTCCAGGATGCAGTCCTATTAGCTTTGTGATTTTTTCTAAGGGAATGTGCCCTGCACAGCTGACTAAGAATCTTCCCTTCTGTGGAATGTTCAAACGAAGTGCATGAAATAGCTATGCTGGTAACAAACAGCACACTGGGGAAATGGAAGGGAGAGGAGAGGTGGCAAAGGAGACGCTAGTCCTCACGCCTTACCCCCCTACACACACACACACACACACACGCACACATGCATACACACACACTGCCCTGGGATCAAGGTTATGTCATCTTGGCTCCATCCTGCTGCTTGGAGCCTTCTCCCAGGAGACACGATCACAAGCTGTGGCATCTTGGGCAAATCCCTTACCACCTCTAGATTCCAGCTCCCCATCTGTAAGTTGCAGAGGTTGACCTTCCTCCCTGAGGTAAATCTTTTAAGGTTCTTAGGGATCTTATCATTTCATTTCTGTTTGCCATTGAGTGATTCCAACTCATGAGAACTCCACATATGTCAGAACCACACATGTCAGAACACACATATGCCAGAATCCCACGCGTATCAGAGACCCCCCCACCTATGTCAGAATCCCCACCCCATGTATGTCAGGACTGCACATATGTCAGAACTCCACATGTGCCAGAGAGCCCCATGTATGTCAGAGAACCCCACATGTCAAAATCCAACATATGTCAGAATCCCACGTATGTCAGAAAACCCCACATATGTCAGAATCCCACATATGTCAGATAACCCCACGTATGTCAATCCTGTGTATGTCAGCAAACCCCACACGTCAGAACCACACACATGTCCAAGAACCCTACATATGTCAGAACTACACATATGTCAACCATACACGTCAGAGAACCCCACCTATGTCAGAACTCTATGTATGTCAGAACTGCACATATGTTAGAACCCCACATACATCAGAGAACCTTACACATATCAGAACACCACATATATCAGATCCCCACATATGTCAGAGCCCCACATATGTCAACCCCATGTGTGTCAGAGAACCCTAAGTGTGTGTCAGAACCCCACATGTGTTAGAGAACCCTACGTGTGTCAGAACTCCATGTATGTCAATCCCCCACGTGTGTCAGAGAACTGTGCTTCACATTATTTTCAATGGATGTGTTTTAGAATCAGATTGCCAGGTCTTGCTTCTCAGGTGCCTCAGGGAGCAGTCACACCTCTAGCCTTCCGGTTAGCAGCCCAGGGTGTGAACTCTGCTTGTACCACTGAGGGACTCCAGCCCCGATTCTGGCTTGAGGGCAGGCTTAGTTCTGTGACCCAGCCTTTGACTAGGTTAGGCTGTTGTCCACAGGCAGGCGTGGAGCCCCTCTTCTGGATGTGTCCTGTCGGTCAACAAGACAATGGGGACTTTTACACACTCACAGGCAGTCTGGAAAGCTAGTGGAGTGAGCAGACTCGGGAGCAGCGATGCCACGTCAGCGGCGTAGGCAGCCAGCTCTGCCCCAGATAAGGCCCAGCCTGCAAGCTGACTTCCTCCTTGGACTTGCCTCCCTGTACAAAGGCCAGCAGTGGTTTCTCCTCCACCTGGCCTGCAAGTCCTCCATCAGCTGGCCTCCTGCTTCCTGGCCTCCCAAGACAAACAGAAAAGCAGCTTGCTGCTCTCTAGGTTGCTGGGTCTCCTTGGGATGCAGGACCCCACACATGTTCGCTTCTGGCATGCCTGCTGCTGGGCAAGCCATTGTCTGTTCTCGCCAGGTTTCTTTGTTTGCTGACCCTGATGGACCCCCACCTACCCACTGCCTTCGAGTTGATTCTGACCTGTAGTGGCCTTATAGGGTAGGGTAGCACCTGCCGTAGGATAGGGTAGAACCTACCATAGGGTGTCCAAAACTGTTGGTCTTTCTGGGAGCAGACAGCCTGTTTCTCGTGTAGAGCAGCTGGTGGGTTTGAACCACTGATCTTGCAGTTAGCAGCCCAACACTTAACCCACTGGGCCACCAGGGCTCCTTTCTGTTAGTAGGAGTGCTCAGAGAGAAGTGACCCCCCCACTTCCTCTACCATTCCCTCTGATGACAGGAAAACAAGGTTCAGAGGAGGGGACCCCGATGGGGTGAGTGAGAGGCTGGCACCCCAAGTCAGTCTCCATATTGGTGTAGACCACAGCCGAGTGCTCAGAACCAGAGCTGACGGCACCTGGAGCTCAGCACCTTGTCCTGCAGAGGCCGGCTGTGGAGTGTGACAGGCAGGGTCTTTTTCTGTGGAGCATGTGACTTAGATTGTAAAGGGATGAGCTCACTGGAGGCTGTTTCACCAGGAAAGGTCCCCAGGGAGTGAGGGGCTGATGATGCGGGCAGGTGGATGGCTTTTGTGGCCCCTCGGTTACCCCCCTACCTCATTCCAAAGTCAGCCAGCTCCCCTACCGCCCTCATGCCTCGATCACTGCCTCCCCCCATGGGTCAGTTTCCCCACTGTCCTTGAGTCCTGCCTGCCTTCCCCATCATGTGGGCCAGCTCCCCAACCATCCTCTGTCCTCTGTCCCCTCCAACATGGGCCAGCTCCCCCGTGGGCAGCTCCCCAACGCCCATGGGTCCTGTGCCCCCTGTGGGACAGCTCCCTGGTTGTCCTCATGTCTCCCCCTCCCCCCACCGGGGCCAGCCATCCCCCGCCCTCACACTGACTTCTCCCCAGGTTGGCGCCCATGCGGCTGTACACGCTCTCCAAGCGCCACTTCGTCCTCGTGTTCGTTGTTTTCTTCATCTGCTTTGGCCTGACTGTCTTCGTGGGGATCAAAGGTGGGTTCTGTTTATCATTTTCCCTGTGGAACGAGAAGCCCCCATGGGGGCACGCCCGGTAGTGCTCAGCACCTTGACAGTGTCCCTGCTGAGCACTGGGACCCACCTGGGTGCTGGGCAGCCAGGACTCAGTCTGCGGGGATATTACTTCAGTGTAGGTGACGGTGGTGGTGAGCACAGGGCAGGTGTAACCCTGGGATGCGGACCCTGTAGACCCCTTTCTGTCCTGTGTCTGCCATCCCCGCAGATCCCTTTTTCACAGCAAAGTGGTGTCGTTCTCTCAGGGCCTTTGTAGGTGCCTCAGTCCTGGTGCAGAGGGTGGGCCGAGACCTCCCCTGCCCACCCCACCCCACCCCTTCAATCTTGTTCAGTGAGTTGTTCCTTTAATCGGTGCCCTTCCTTACACTTAGTGTGAGACACGGTTAAAGCTGACCTGTCCCAGAGACATGTGCACCGGACAGTGTCTTTTCCCAAGGGAAACCTTGGGTTTGTGAAGAGACTGAAGGAGCGGGGAGTGGGGGTGGCTGTCACAGGGCTGTTCTCCTGACCGGCCAACCTCATCCTTTCCTATTCTGTCCCTGCTCAAGAGAAACCCACTCTCCGCTTCTACAGCTCTTCAGGATCCCTAGGGGAGGCACCATAGCCTAGGTCTCCAGTCTCAGCAGGGCCTCAGCTGTCCTTCTGTCCAATTCCGACCAGACATACACCAAGGCCTGTCACAATTCCCACAGTCCTTTCCCTCTTCACCCCAGGGTGAGGGGTCTTAGGGACCACTTAGCTAATCACCCTTTTGAGATTGGGGAAGCCTCATCAACTAGAGCCTAAGAAAGTGCAGGCTATTTGGCTCCCTCCCAGTCTGGAATTCCTTCTAGGAAACCAGATGCCTGACCTTTGGGAGCGGATTCTGCTCAGACGTGGGCCTGTGTGAAGCTCACAGCCAGCTGCCTTCCTCTGTGGAGAACTCCGCTCAGCACTGGGTCCCTGGGTCCACCCACACGGGCTGCCTCCTTTTCCATGGAGGCTGGCAGCAGGCTGCCCATAAGCTGGCACCTCTCCTCGAGTATGACATGTTTATATGAGAAACCCAGTTCTGCATTCAATTGAAGTCAGATTCACAGGGTTTCCTTCAGTTCCTCTCTCATGTTCAAAGCTCTGAAGAATTACAACAGGAGAACCTGTAATGCTCTTTCTGGAAAAACTTCATTGTATTTTGTATATTGTGTTTCTCTGTATCCTTTTCTGAAGTATCTTTGGGAGACTTGATGGGTTGAACAGATGGGTAAGTGAGTCCTGCTTTTAGCAAAAGTCTCTGTACTTTGCAAATGTAGAGCGAGCATGTTTCCAGTCTGTTTTCTCTGGTTCATGGACTATACAGAAAGTCCCCAATGAGAGGAAACAAGCGGGGCTCTTGGGGAACAGCCAGATGGGATGCTAAACTTGGCTCACCTGTGCGTGAAGTCACATAGGACAGCAGAGGGGGATGTTGCTGGGACTGTTAGTGTATTTATAAAGTTTCCTTTGATGTGTAAAATCACTGAAGTTAAGACCGGGAAAACGAGACCACCTCCACATAATACACGAGTCTGTCGTGGCATTTGCAAAACAAGATTACTAATTAAATCTCAAGATAGATATATCATGTGGTTTTTATTCTTTTCTCTGTTTACCCTTCAGGGCCCAAAGTGATCCAAACCTCTGCAGCCAATTTTTCAATAAACAATAGCAAAAAGGTAAGATGGGATGGGTGGGGGGCGGGTGGTGATTGCTGAGTGACAGCCAGCTAGGCTTTGGCACTGTCAACTGTAGGGGCACTCAGACATGGTCTGACGCTGCGGGGCCTGCGGTTTGTGGGTGGCGCACATAGTTTGTGCTCAACTATAAACCTAAAAGTTGGCAGTTCAGAACCACCGAGTAACACTATGGAAGGAAGTCTTGATTCCATAAGATGACAGCTAAGGACGCAAACCCTGTGGAGAACGGTTCTGCTCTGTGCCGCGGGGATTCTGCTCTGTGCACATGTGGATTCCGTTCTGTGCCACGTGGGCTCACCCTGAGTCCCGCTTGTGCCATGTGGGCTCGCCCTGAGTTGGAATCAATTCATCTGGGCAGTGGGTTTGATTTGGGTTTTTTCAGAGAGGCCCGAGACAGACAGACAGACCAGCTTGCCCTTCCTCTTATTTCCCAGGCAGTAGCATTCCTTAACCCCAGTGTCTGCTTCTGGAATCAGTGCCTCAGTACACAAGGAATGGATGGTGGTATTATCTCTTAGGGGAGAATGCTCCTTTCCAAAGGCCAGAACACACCCCTGCACACACAGTCAGATTGTACATGTTAGCAGGCTCATGTTTAGCCCGGGGCAGACGGGCCCTCTGCTGGGTTCACACAGGTACAGCCCTTTTATCATCATGATTCCATGTGCCTTGTGGGGTCAGTTCATTTTTTTTAAATGTGCTTTGACTATTTGTCACCATCTTTAGAGAAAATGAAAGGTCCTTCTGGTGGCAATGTGGTTTCTTGTAGGAAAGACTCAACTGTGAGGGTGTGCCCAGCTAAACGTGGAGTTTTCTGTGTCCAACTGAGTCTTTATCTGTGAACAGAGCTCACTGTCTTTTCATGGCCCTGTGTGTACAGTGTCCACATCTTATTGCTCCGTTCCAGTTCCCTCTGTGTCTCTGTCCACCCACCTCCTCACTAAGGTTTCTACTCTTAATATCTTTTCAAAAAAGCAGAAGGAAAAACGTATCCTACAACATGTGCTCTGTAGCCTTTGTGTTGGAAGGGTCTTCTGCTCAGCCCTTCGTCACGTCTCCGTGCCTCAGGTCTCCTGAGCTCTTGGGCTGGAGATGTGACTTGAAATGCTGCTACCAGTTTCCTGGTGATCTGGCCTCTTCCCATCTGTCTCTCAGGTGTGGGTGTTCTCATGACACTGAGAGTCACGCACATCTCATCTTCCTGCTCCTTAACTTTCATCCCAAAGCTGGCCTTTTCTTGGTGTCTAATGCAGGTCTGTTGATTCATCATCCAGGTGGCAGGAACTACCCTGCCTGCAGCTTTTGACAGGAGATGAATGAATGTCAGCAATTAGCCAATGCTTTCTTTTTCTGGAAGGCAGGATTTCACTGAAACTTTTGAAAGGAAACCTACCTACATATCTGGATGAGAGCTCAGTGTGCCCTTTGGAGGCCAGGGTGAAGAGTGCAGTAGGCTCATCAAAAAGGTCACATGATCACTCACACTTTTGTTTTGTTTTTTCCTTCTTGCCTCAGCTAAAGCCAATTCAAATACTCTCCAACCCACTGTCTACGTACAATCAGCAGCTGTGGCTGACGTGTGTCGTTGAGTTGAATCAATCAAAAGGTATGTTCCCTGATGTTCAGGCAGGAGCACCAAGCTAGAGGCTGAAGGGCTTTCAAGTCTCTGCACAAGGTGATGTGGAAGGATGTTCGTCAGTACGGGGCTATGTCCCAAAGTATTGCTACCAGGGTTCCAGTTCGTACAAAACGAGTGTGAATGTGTCTCTGTCATCAGTCGATGGCTGCAGACAAGTTTTCCCGGTAATGCATATGTCTTAATCTCCTTAGGGTTCCTTCAAACAACAGGTCCAGTCCACGCAGTGGCTTCTGAGAGCACATGTTGGACATGACAGACAGAGAGTGTCAGCTCAGATTCTGCTGACTGTGTTTGTGAATTCTAAAGGGGTCATCTTAACAGATTTTCTCAAAGGAAACAGGACGATCTTGGGAGCTTCTTAGGAAGAAATTTTAGGAGAGTTGAAAAGTGCCTTGATGAACTGGAAGGCCGGGAAAGTTTCATCACGGATCTCATTCCTGTTAACGACAGTGGACCTGCTCATCTTCAAGGGTAGCAGAGGCTGGCCTATGGGAATTGGATTGGGAAACCTGACCCCACCCACCCTACAGCCCTGATCTTACCCGTCCAGGCTACTTTTTGTTTCCCAAACCAAAAGCACCTGCTTTGAGTCCCTTGAGGATGCCAGAGCTGCCTTTTTGACGTGGAATCCACCCGAGTGTGGATTCTCCAGGGACGGGCGAGAGCCATGGCAACACAGCCTTAAGGAGTGTCAGACCTAGCTGGAGGAGATGTTGAGAAACAGTAGCGTCACACTTGATAGTGTGTCTAATAGAGGGTTTTGTGACACTGTAGTGATACTTTGTGACTTAACCTCATCTGGATAACAGCATCAAATGTAATTCCCGTAAGTGTCCTCCGGGACTCACGGAGCCTAATCAGTGGATGCTGGGTTTCTTAAGGGTCATGGGATGGTTTGGGTACCGATAAGGGGGGTGGTTGAACAACATGATGAGTGTAGTCAGTGCCCTGAAGTGTGTATGTGAAGATTGTTGAATGGAACTGCTTTGTTACATATCTGTTCACCATCGTAAAATATCAAGGAAGAGCAAGTATGCCCTTTTGTTACCCAGCCCTCAGCTCTGGGTGAGCGTGTGTCGGGGGGCCGGGGGCTCAGCCTTTGCGTGGTATCTAGTAGCTCTAGGTCAGGGTGGCTAGTAAGCATCCTGCAATGCCCAGGGTGGCCCCTCAAAGCGTAACAGTCCGGCCCACGTTACAAGTCAGGTTGAGGCTGAGGCAGCCTAGTGACTAGTTAACTTGTAACTAGCTTCTGATCATCTCGGGCAGGACTAGTTACCTACAGTCACCCGGTTAGTTTCAGTGTCTGTTGTTCAAATGAGGGATTCAGGTTGAGAAAGAGTTTAGGAAGATGATCCCAGCAAATTAGTAAAAGATGTGCACGTGGAAAAAAATTATCCCCCTTTTGTAAAATTTTTGAAAAGCAAAAATGAATTTTATACAATGATATGCATGTGTTTGTGACTAGAAAATGAAGGATGACTGTGAAGTCTGTCTCCAGGTGTGGGATTGTAAGTGTTGGATGTTGTAGAAGTTGTTGAGTCGGTTCTAACTCATAGTGATCGATCCTGTGTAGGGTTTCCGAGGCAGAAGTAGAAAACCCCACTGCCGTCAGGTCAGCTCCGACTCAGAGTAAACCTGTAGGACAGACCAGTGCTGCCCCATAGGGTTCCCAAAGCTGTTAGATTTACTGAAGTAAATGTTCATTTTTTTCCCCTGGAGCAGCTGGTGGGTTGAAACCACCCACCTATAAGTTAGCAACCAAGCATTTTAACCACTGTGCTATGTATATGATAAGCACTGGACTGCGAACTGTGGGGTTAGTGGTTCAAACCCACAGCTGCGCCTCGAAAACCCCTATACAGGGTCACTGTGAGTTAGAACCTATGGGGAGTATGTGAATGCTGTTGCTGTTAGGTGCAGTGCAGTTGACTCTCTCTCTCTACATATATATATATATATAT